AGGGGCTCAAGCTGAGTCTTGCAGTCAAGTACAATTTGGTCACAGGAAGAAACAGAAAAGAGCATTCGAGATGGAAAAGTTGGGATAACTTAGGTGTGAGGAGAAGATAAGACTAGACAGACTAGGCCAAATCAGACAGCCTTATAGACTATGTAAATGGTTTCAGCTACTGGGAGATGGTGAAGGATTTGAACTGAGGAAGACACATACAAAGAGCTGCACTATTGCAAGGCTACTTTAGTAGCTAATGTTCAGCACGGATTTGGAAGAGTGAACAATTCAATATGCTTTATTTCCTTATCTTCAGCATTTAGGCACTCCCAAGCTCATTGTGGCACAGGTTAGCTGTTAATGATTGAATCAACAATCTCAGAAAATGATTCAAAATTAAAATGTAGGGCTATAACTAATGATACTCACGATGTACCTGAGCCTAAAAAAACAGGTCATGAAAGAGCAGAGAAGTATTTGGGAGAAAGGATGTGGCGGCAGAGCTGAGGGTAAAAACGTAAAGAAACAGATCAAGACTTTCTGCTGTACAAGATGACCCACCTCGACTCCACGTCGCAGATAATGAGTAGTTTTTGGCACAAATCCGCCTGGACAGAGAAGGGTGCTTGAGAATCTGGGATTTACACAGCTGAATCAGGTTGTCCACAATGATTGGGCTTGGAGAAAAGACAAGACATTTGGGGGCTTAAGTAACAGGCTGACTCCAAGACCCACCAATCAGAAATCCTATTTACTTAGGGGACACTTACCAGTAAGTCTCTCTCTTGGGGATGTCCTCCGTGGAATGCCAGAGGCGGGCATGAGAGATAATGTTCAGAACACGCTCATCTTGGTTCTCTACGTGGTTCTGTGGGTCATCAACAAGGCTGAGAACTTTCTCAGGAAGGCCTTCTATTAACTTGGTCTTGGTAAGCCAGAGAGCCTGCTTCACTCCTTCAGGGTAATCAGCATAAAGCAACAAAAAGAGAAGCTGATTAAGAGATGCTCATGTTGGCCACATAGCATCATGTAGAAAAAGCTGCTTCAAGAGAGGCCTGGATTTGTTTTGGGACACCTATGTGGACAGCATCAGAAGAACTAGAAGCCAGGGAAATCAGATTTCAACTCAACTTCAAGAACGACCACCTACTTCAAGATGGTGAAGTTAGTCGACTGAGGTATTAAGCACTTGCCACATTCAAACAGGAACTAAGACAGCTGAGGTTATATGGCCGAATTCTGCAGGAGGCAGACAAACTGGAGACTATGGGATTACATGATGGATGTCAAAGATTCCTATGAGGCCATGCATGGTGACTCATGCCTGTAATTCCAGCACTTTGTAGGCTGAGGCAGGTGGAACACTGGGATTTTAAAGCCAGCATGGACTACACAGTGAGTTCCAGGTCAGCCTGAACTACATAGTGAGACCCTGCCCACACCTCCCAAAAAAGAAAGATTCCTCCTATGAATCTATACTCCAGCTCCAACTAAAAAAACCCAACATACCTCATTTATTAAATGTGAGTCTAGGAGTAGACCTGTATTACCTTATCAAGCAAAAGCAACTTTTGGAATTAATGAGAATCACTTTTAGATCTTCATGAATAATTTAAGGATCCCAGAGTTTGGGACCATGTACACAGATAATTTTTCACACCTTATTTAAATTAATCCTGATATTCTATAATGAACTATTTAATAAACAGATTTTTACATGAAGCAGCACTATGTAACATACTGCTATACTTGTCAAAAGAATCATACTAAGGATGTTCTATTCCTTACAGAGTGCTTTCTGAGACCTTCTGAACTTCTCGCTGGCCTTAGTACAGAAAGGTTGGGTTTCACTCCTGCATAGTGGCATATGCAAGTTCAAGGCCAGCAGGGGCTACACACTGAGTTCAGGACTGGCCTAAACTACATAATGAGACCCTGTCTCCAAAAAAAAAAAAAGGTTGGATATAGTGAATAAATGAAAATATTTTTCTCTATATTAGGGGTCAATAAATATTCTCTTAAAGGGCCAGACAGTAAATACTTTCAGCAGTCTCTAGTACAACTACTCACCCTTGTCAATGTAGCACAAAAGCAGCCACAAATAATAATTAACATGTGCACATGGTTGTAACCAATAAAACTTTATTTGCAAATACAGGGAGCTGGCCTAGTTAGCTGATCCCAGGTGTGTATTATTTGTTGCTCAGCAAGCACTCTACCACTGAGCTAAATCTCCAATCCTTACCTATGCCTAATTTAATTTGCTTATATTGTAAAGTATTTTTAAGTTCCCCAAAATATCTTTAAAGAAAAGATGGTGTATAAACTAAACTAGGTTCAATTTAGACTGACCCTTTAAACTTAAGAGAGCCTAGCTACTTTCAGTGGCATGAACTATGGCACCCAAATCTGACTTCCCTAAAGGAAAAACAGGCACAGCCCCAGAAACTAAGTTCTGATAAATAAATACACCAGTCTTCTACAGTCAGATGAAAATTAGTACTCCATCCTCTCTTTTCACTGATTATGCCTGTAAGTTCACAGGGGGCTGGGGACTACTTTGGTTGGCAGGCTACTATCTATCCCCGCTGGAAAAAAACCACTATTCTGACTCTGGGATACATCTTCATTCAAAAAGCTATGTCTGGGAATAAAGGGAGCCTTTGTAGGAAACACCTCAGGCAATTTCTCTTGTGGTAATAAATGAACAAGCAAGGACAGTGGCAAGACTGTTCACTTTAAGGCTCATAGGACGTCACACTAGAAATATAAATGTTTAGAAATGTTTACATTTGTGGTGCAGCAGAAAGAACCCTGGACTGGGAGTCAGGTAAACTGTGTTTTAGTGCTGCCACTGCCAATGTTCCTTAAACTTAGAAATGGGTAAAACATTAAGATTTTATGCTTCACTAGTACAATACATACTATGTAACAATCAGAGTTGCCACTTACTGAATGGCACCATCTACTCTATGCCAGTAGCTTTATCTACAATTTAGGATAGGACTTTATGAAATGAAGGAGAAAACGCAGGCCAAGGAATTTTTGCTTCCCATCACATACCTTGAAAGTGACAAAGCTGGAGGGATAACCTGAGTCTGTTTACCCTAAAATCCATAATCTCTTCCTTGTCTGAATAGGCTTCTCTATCTTGCAGTTTCATTACAGACATTATAAAACCTCTCTGTGGGTGGTGAAAGCATAGGATATAGGATGCATTTTCAGCCTAGTTAAGTGAATGTAATCTTAACTTCTTAAATACTGCTATCAGGGCCGGGGATATAGCTCAGTGGCACAAGTGCCTGCCTGGCAAGTGCAAGGTCCTGAGTTCGATTTCCGGTACTAAAAAAAAAAAAAATACTGCTACTGTATTCATCCACTTGGTATTCTGTTACAGGGTCACTCAAGGGTACCCAATCTTGCAAGTTCCTTCACAGCATCCTGTGAGGACCTGGAAAGTGTTTAACAGCTGGAAAAACAGCTGGCAGGAACAGGACTGAGTAGCTTAACAGACTGGCCAATTAACCAGTTTTTGCAAATTTAAGATTACTCTTACTTCCCAAATCCTGCCAGAGCTCTGTGTTTCCTAATTACCCTTGGAAAATACTACTCCTACTTACTTCAACCATTTTGTTTTTAAGACATGTCCTCCTCCCATCCTGATTTGGTGCAAAGATTGAGGGATGGGAAAACGAATTCTCAACAACACCCCTCCCCTCTACCTGGTCTCTTGTCCACTCTGGAAAACAATTTCTGATAATGCCCAAAAAAGACAGTCTTCTTTTGGCTTACGATTTCAATACGTTCTTAAGAGTGACAGAGGAACAGAAGTGGGTGAAAGTAAAGACTCTGATCCTTTCCTTGAAAACACCTCATCTCTGACCTTTGAAAAAGGACAATAACCTAGGAAATCGGAGTCGTAGACCTGCTTCAATACTAACCCACGGTGCACCTGTAAGAAAATCACTTCTTTTTTCTGACAATTAGCCACCCTGTAAAATGAGGTAACAAGGCTGGAAATTAAACCCTGTTTCTGCTGTCTCCTTTCACTATCATTTCCCTCTTTCTGTTTCTTAAGTGTACAGTTAAATCCCCAGCATGTCGACTACCACACCATTCATTTCATGGACTACCATGACTACCATTTCATGGACTACCATTCATGGACTACCACACCATTCATTTCACAGAACTGGAGTCTCAGGAAAGTCAGGAGTTGCCCAAAGTCACCCCGGGAGTTACAGCGGGGCTAGGCCTAGAAAGCAGGTCTTTTCACCGTGCAACTCTACTACTCCTTCCCTGAGAGCACAGCTCTCTACACCCCACCGACTCCTGACAACTCTCAGAAGACAGCCATCACTTCGACCCCATTTCGCCAGGAATCCGAGCTTCGCTATCTTGCCTAAAGACACTGGGGGCCTCAGGGGTCAGTGCGGGGCACAGGAACAAGGTTCCCTCCGTTACATCCTGGGGTCTCACCCTCGAGGAGACGGCAACGCTGGTGGAAGATGTAGCAAGGATGCTCCTTGTACAGCGGATGCTCGTGGATCGGAGGAGAGCGGTGAAACCTCGGGTGCTTCCAGCCGCGGTCCCAGGCCGGAAAGACCGGCCGCGCCAGCCCGGGCATGAAGTGCATCTTCCCAGCATAGGTGATGGGCTCCAGTCCGGGGATCTCATATACCCTGTCCAGCGGGGGAGGCCCAGGTTTCCTGGTAGAGCGCACGCCCCATTCGTACGCCCCGCGTCTCGGGATCCCACAGCCCCCAAAGCCGAGCTGTCCAGAGCCAAGGAAGGCCCGCTTTGCGGGCCCAGACGCCAACGCCATTCCGACCAAGTTTCCTCCAGACCTCTACCTGGACGCCGCCATCTTCCACCCCCCCGCAAGGCCTGCCGGGAACCAAAGGGGCTGGGCGGTGAGGCTTGTCTTGTGAGTGGCAGCCACTTCAACCAATCACAGTCAAGAATGCCTCGCCCTGTCCCCACCCCGCAAGCTTTTCTCATTTCATTATAGGTGGGCCCGCTGAAGACTCACCCCTTTCCCAGGGGGTGGGTATGGAGGGAACTCTGGAAGATCCTCCAAGGAGGGAATTTGCGGAGTTTAGGTGAGTGGTCGCGGCAGAGCAAGAGCGCGGAACTCCACAGCTAAGCTCAGAATGCCGCACGGCTTACAAGGCGTTGCACTGGGGCAAGACCCCAATGCCCCTTGCTGTGAAAATAAAGTAGTACAGTGCCTAGCCTAACGCCCCGTGCAGTGCCCAGTACGTAGTGCATGCTTAGTTTCATCATCCGCTTCTCCCTGCTGTGGGTGCTTTTATGATAAATACAACGTGTGACCTGTAGAGTTTAGAGTTTAGTAGGAGACGTGGACGGGACGCAGGCAGACGACGAAAACAATACCCACTTCCTGTCTCTTCTCTCCGGATACTTTTCTCTAGATTTAGCGCTGCCTATTTTGATTTTGTTTAATGACTCGCCAGGAGTGCAGAGGTTTTTGTTTCTCCTGTGTCCCGGGCACCTAGAACAGTGTCTGGCACGTGGTAAATGTGTATTTAGCAAACGAATGCAAAACAAATAGAAGGCTGGTAGAGAGCAACGAAGGGGCGGTTCAGGGAAGCCTTGAAGGAAGATGACCTTCCAGCCAAGGTCTGGAGATTGAGAGAGGCAGCCAGGCAGAGTTGACATCTGTCAGAATGTGACTTGAAGATGGCACCTGATACACTAAGACAGAGGCCGAGAGGAGGTGTGGATCATATCTTTAAAATTCATGACTAACGGGGCTAACTTCACCAGTTTGTAAAACAGCAGGGATTCTTACAACATGGAAAGGTAAATTCAAAGCAGAGACTGATAGAACTAGCTTTTACACTGTTGAGAGAAAGCATCCAGCTTTCTTGTTTTTTTTTTTTTTTTTGGTTTTTCGCCGGTACCAAGAATCAAACTCACAACCTTGCGCTTGCCAGGCAGGCGCTGGACCGCTGAGCTAAATCCCCAGCCCCCTAGCTTTTACACTATTTAGCAGTTTACAGTTAACAGGATTCTTTCTTTTTTCTCCCTTTAGACCCCAGAACCACACAGAGTAAGAAATGGGTGTAAACAGGGGACTAGACTGCACTCACTCATAATGCATACCCGTACATAGCACACAATTAAAGCAGACTGGATTGTTGGAACAGCATGCTGGCTGTGAAGCTCTGTGAGGAAGGCCTGTCTTACCTTGTTTGTCTCTGTTACCTCTCAGCACCTATTCCTGTGCCTGGCTCCCAGACCCTATTTGTTTAGAAGTTTCCTTTTTGTTTTTTTGTTCATTTGTTTTTCAGTATTGGAGATCAAGCCAAAGACCTTCCACATGCTAGACAAGTGCTCTACCACTGAGCCACATCTGCAGCCCTCCAGACCACATTTGTAGAGTGAATGAACGCTCACCAGCTGCTGGGAGCCTGCCATATACCCGGCTGGGCTCAGTGGGAAAATACCGAAAGAAGAAGACGCTGTCCTAGTCTGCGTAAGGGTTCCAGCCTGCTAAACTTTTCTGAGTTCACAGAGTTCTGTGCAGTAGAACCAGGTTTTCTGAAGCCAAACACTTTACTATGAAAAGATTTATTTGGCACAGAGGAAACTAGTGGTAGTAAGTGGTAAGTGCACCCCACCAGACAGTAGTTTCCATGGTTCACCCGTTCTTGTCCCAGTGCTTACACAAAGCCTGGCACCTGCACGCCTGGGGAGAAGGTGAGAAATAGAGGAAACAACAGCATAACCCCCATTTTTTCTTCCCCCACGGCAGCAAGGGACCAGGGCCTGGGCCGGGGGCCTCACAGAGCCTGACCTGCACTGGGAAGAGCACACAGGTGTTCCTCCCAGGCTGCCTAAGCCCCGCTGACTATGGACGAGAGGGAGGAGGACGAGGGTGCTGAGGAAGCCTGGCTGCAGCTGCGGCCTGTGGAACCCTTGCCCTCCCAGTGCTGCGGCAGTGGCTGCTCGCCCTGTGTGTTTGACCTCTACCACCGAGACCTGGCAAAGTGGGAGGCGGCCCACTCGAGCAACGACAGGAGCCTGTTGAGTGGGAAACAGCCACAGGTGAGGAGGCTGCTTCCTAGACTTGAGGGCCATGGGGGCTGCGTTTACTTGGTCTGGAAGCCTTCTCTGAACACCAGAAAAAAGAATGCCCATACGGGAAGCAGGCAACCCTGGGGTCAAAGTTCAGGCCTGGAACAGACTTCTTAGCAGCTGTGTGGTTGGAGGCCAAGTCTCTCAACCTCTCCATGCCTTCATTTCTCCATCTGTAGAAGGGAGGTAAGCACTTGTGATGTGCGGCATAAGCCTGACATTTATATCACTTAATAAATACCTGCCAAGTACCCAATATACACCAGGCCCTATGAGCTCTTGAGAAGTTGAGAGCGGACAAGACAGATACAGTCTTTGCCCCGTGGAACAAATGACCGAAAGTACACACTAGTTAAATAGAGCGCGTTGTTATTTCTTCCTCTCTGTTCCTTACTTTTTCTTCCCTTGCTGAACTCCAAGGGACTTTATCATCTGGATCAGACAATCTAAGCCTTCAGTGTAGTGTTTATGATGGTTCACGATTACAATTATAGATGTCTGACACTAGAGAGTTCAGCTCCATATTCTATAGTTTGGGAAACTAAGGACCCATTCCTCTGACACTGTGCATGGGTCTAGTTTTGAATCTGTCCCCATCCTGGTCTCCTGCCTCTGAGTGAGTTGCCATCGCCCTTGTCCCTTCTGACCACTGTGGAGTAGAGACATCTCTTTCTGTTGCTGCCTCTGTTAATGCAGCCTGGCCCCATTGTTACTTTTGGGCTATCACAGTTTGGCCTGAACTGCACCAAAATGTAGTTATTTTTACACATGTGGTTCCTAAACTACAGATTATATAGATCTTAGATTCTGAACAAATGCAGTTAAAAAAAAACAACTCTAAAATGTGACCATATCTATTCTTGTTAAATGTCTCCTTATAGTTCTGCCTTGGCACCTCTACCAGTAACTGGGGAGCCCCTGGGATTTTTTCCTTCTCACTGCTTTCATCTGTATATAGCTTACTCCTCCACTTCTTTCTGACTGCTCAAATCTGGCTCTGTGTGTGTGTGCGTGTGTGTGTTTGCTAGGAATTGAACCCAGGGCCTCATAAATGTTAGGCAAGCACCTTCCCACTGAGCCACAGCCCAGGTCTTCTTCTTAACTCTCAGTAGCACCAGGCACCTTCTAGATGCACTTGTTTGCATGTACCTTGTCCATATCTCCTTGTTAAAATGTGAGTTTTATAGGAGAAGGAGTCTCTGGCTCATTCTTCTCTCCTCACCATCTTGAGCAGCAGCTGGCATTACAGGCAATAACTATTTGTTGAACAAATGAGTTTCTCCCAGTTCTGCCAAGTACCACATCCTGTACTAGGTGCACGGAAGTTGTTGATAAAGATGCCAGGGTTACAACCCTAAGAAACTCAATGCATAGAAGAAGGACAAAACCCACAAGAGTATAATAGAAATAGTATATGCTGAGCCCCAGTTCAGACACTTGTGTGGTTTTGGTCCTATCATTTAGTTGGCTAAACCTCAGTTTTCTCATGTGAATAGTGTGGTTGTTAATACTTCGTAAGTTATTATGAGGATTTCCTAAGCTAAATATGTAAAGCCTCTGGAATATAGTAGGTGCTCAGTAAATAGTAGGCGTTTCTACTTATTATAAGAAATAGTTAAATGATTCTTGTAAATTTATTAAATAGCATATTTAACCTAATAAGTTTAATGAATAATTGAAAAAGATTTTATATTTTGATTGCAGTTTACACTTCATAAAATGTTTTTCTATTATCTCATCTGACCCTTATGAACCCTCCAGACATTTATCAGGAACAAGTACCCCTTTTTTATAGATGAGGAAATTGAAAGCCAGAAGATCAGATGACCTGCATAAGTCTGCACAGATGGGCAGTAGCTCAGCTGGGGGTAACCTGGTGCTCCTGACTCCCAGTGCAGTGCTCTTGGCAGCCGTGGCAGCTGTGACAGAGTGATCAGATGCTCTGGCTGCTGATGAACAGGTGGTCACCTCAGCTTGCATGAGCAGTGTGGTGTAGGAACTGGTATGGTGGAGGCAAAGTTGCTGTTGGTTTTGTGACACTCTTGGTGCTACCATGGGTAATGAGGGTTTGTTTTTACTATATTTCTCATTGCTGAGACAAAATACCCAATACCCAAAGTTAAAGGAGGAACGGTCTATATCAGTTTGTAGAGGCTTCAGTCCATAATTGCTGGCTCCAAGGCAGGCTGGTGTGGCAGAGGGGCGTCACGGAGGAGAAACAGTCCATGGCAGGCAGAAGGCAGCCAGCAGCAAAGTAGCAGCAGCAGCCAAGCCTGCCTTTACATTTTATCCAGGTACCCGCCCCCTGGGAGGTGTCACTCACATCCAGGGTAGGACACCCCTAACCCCAGCATCACATACCCTAGAGCCAGCCACTTCTGAAGAAGCCCATCCATGACCACATGAGGCTTTGGGGGAACATCTGGATACAGCTGTAATGGGGCTCCAGAGGTGGTATCCCACCTTGGCCCAACAAGGGGAGTCCCAGGTCAAGTGACTCCTGTGGGTGTGGAGATTTTCTAGGAGAGCACTTGGTGAGTCGTGGCATTCAGAGGCCTATGGAGGAGGTATAGGGAGGGGTGGAATGGTAAGGACAATGGGTTGAGACATAAATTTGAGTCCCTGCTCACAGTGTGACTTTGGCCAAGTAAGCCACTACTGCTCAGCCTCAGTTTCCTAATATGAAATAAAGCGTATTGGATTTGATCATCTTGAAAGGCTCAACTGTGCTGGTGTGGAGTTAACACCTCGGCAGGGTGAGCAGGTCTCTTATACCATGGAGGTAAGTGTTCTGGATGGAGAGCTCACCTTGAGCATTGAGGGCCCAGAGGTAGGGGCAGCAGGTGTTCTGGGAGAAGTCAGGCATCAGATGTATGAGAGACAAAATGAGGCTTGAGGTTCATCCACTGGGCTCTTGAGTGTAAGCTAAAAAGCCTGTGCTTGATTCTGGGGCTGAGGGGAGACACAGACGGCTTAAGAGCAGGGTAAACCCAATGTACAGTGCCCTAGCATTCTTGGATCGGAGGGAAGTAAACTGGAGCTGCAATCTGTGACACGCAGAGAGCTTACCGGTTGAGACAGCTCTCATAGGAAAGCAGGGAGGATGCTGTGCACCCCTTGAGCTCAGCCTCTACCATCAGGTCTTTTCCCTTTGCAGAGCTGCCCCTCCGAGCTGAACCCAGAAGACTTCCTGGCTTTCCGCATCAGTGCTGTGGACAAACTCACTAACGACACCTACTGTGTCCGGTTTGCTCTGCCTGGGAACAGCCAGCTTGGCTTGCGGCCCGGGCAGCACCTTGTCCTACGGTATACTCAGGCGGGGGGCAGCAGTGGGGGGAACGCACCAAAGCTTTGCTGCCCTGCTTTGCTGTTGACTAGCTGGATGACCCAGAGCAACTTGCTTGACCTCTTTTCAGGCTCCATTTTTCATCTTCAAAATAGAAATAGTCATGTGTGACTCAGCGGGTTTGCGGGATGGAGCAAGGTGGTACATTTTCAAGACAAATGAGCACTTTACTAGCATTTACAGGCAAGGCACAGTTCTGTGCACTTATACCCATGATTGTGTGAGCCTCACAAAGCCCAGTGAACAAGGGGCCATTAGCATCCATCAGTGGAAACTGAAGTCAGAGGAGTTTGGGAACCTGCCAAGGGCACACAGTTAGGAAATGGTAGATCCAGAATTTGAAGACAAGCACTCTGGCTCTAGAGCCTGTGGTTTTAACCTAATCTGATTAGCACCCATTGATAGAAAGAATGCCGTCACTGAGAACATCGAACTTGGCCAAAATCATATACCTAATAAATCATGGAGCCAGGATTCAAACCCAGACAGCCTGGCTCCTGTGTTGCCTTTGAGGTTCCTCCTGCCTGCTTTAGTGCTCTCTTTCCTGATCCCACCCTGGCCCTTCCCAGGGATGGAGCCTTCGGGATGTTCAGATAGAGCACTTGCCAGGCCATCGGCTCTGTGGGTCTGAGGCCTTGAGAGTCGCCAGAGTTCATTGGCATTTGGGAGCGTGTGTGTGCAAAGAAGAGACACTGAAAACACTGGAGTGTGTAGGACTGGTGAGAGGAGGCGGCAGGAACGGCCAGAAACACGATGGGACCCAGGAGAGAGCGGCCACTTGCCTCACAGTGGCCCCTGATGCTCATGTCCAGCTCCTTGCGGCCTGTGCCATGCTGGGAGTCCTTGAATTTCACTGTTCCAGGGGATAGGAGGAGCCACAGAGTGGGTCACAGCCCCGTGGAACCCTCCATCCATGAACTAGAGATGCCCAGAACCCCTGCTTCTAGATGAGGTCCTGTCTTCCATCTTCTCTGCCACACTGGTGGTATCGTAACACGCGTGCACACGCACGCATACACGCGCGCACGCACACACACATGTCTGAGCATGTGATGCCCTACTCACCTGCCCTCTAGAGCACACTGTTTCCACCCAGACTCCCTCCCCCGACCCTTTGTCTCAGCTCATGGTTCACACCCCAGTTCCCGTCTTACCCACAGTATCTCACCGCTAAGCATTGGCAAACTACTCCCTCTTCCATAAATGGCTGCCCTTCCTGTCCCCACTGGCATGTGTCAGCACCTGATCCTGCCGTCACAACTCCAGGAGGTACCTGAGGTTCTGTAGGTGACAGCAGTTTTCCCTCTGAAGCCTGTCACTTTACCCTCTGTGGGGGCTGACGTCGGTGCTCTTTCCACCTAACCCATGTCCTCTGTTCTGTTCCTGTTTACCTCACTTGTTTCATGGGAATTTCCTAAGTGTCTGGCTCCCCTGCTGCTGGTGCACGGGGACAAGGCCTGCTTTCTCTCTTTGCACCTGAATGAGGCGAGTTTTCAGGCACAGAACTTGAGGGACGTGCGCGGATGCTCTCAGGCGGAGCAACAGCAAGGAGGTTGGCTCAGAGTCAGCAGGGAAGTTCTAGCTGTGCGAGTGACTCTCCTTAGGCCACCAGATTCTGCATTTGTGCTATAATTTGAGTGAAATTAGATAATGTGTATATATTAGATAATGTGTATAATTAGATAATGTGTATAATACGCTTGATGTGTGGTGGGCACTCAATGCACGTGGCTGTTCCTGGTCGTGACCCTGACCCACTGTGCCTGGCACTGTGGAGAGGATTTGTGCAGGGGTAGGGCTTTGGATGAGGGCCGCATTAGGATCCTCCAAGCGCACTTCTCCTGGCAGTAAGTGTTCTATAAATCTTGGCCGTTGTTTTTCTCTTTACCACTCTATAGTTGAGGTCAGGAAAAACCCCAAGATACTTTGCACTGTCAGTTCACTTTCTGTATTTTTTCCTTTGTTTGGTTAGTTGTTTTTGTTTTTTCTTTTTCTGTGCCAGGGCCCAAACCCAGGGCCTCGCACACCGCATAAGCCCTCTGCCGCTGAGCGAGAGCCTCAGCCCATTGGTACATTTTGGCAGCACTTCCTCCTGCTGTTGCCGTTGGGCCACACAGTCAGAACATAGATAGTTGTTTCTGTTCTGCAGTGGGTTCTGATGAGACAATAAAAGGCCTGTCTGGGTCTCATAAGCAATGTGTGGTGGTGGTGAGCCCAGTGCTCTTCTGCAGCACCTCACCATCCCTAGTGAGGTCCTCTAGGGATGACTGGACTTCAGTTTTACTTTTACCAGCCGGACAGAGGAAGCACTGAATGAGGGTTTGTTGAATGCCTAGCTGACCACTGCCTGACAGTATGCTTCTCTTTCCTAGAGGGATAGTGGAAGACTTAGAAATTCAGAGGGCCTATACTCCCATCAGCCCTGCCACTGCAGAAGGATACTTCGAAGTTCTAATTAAGGTGAGTTGGCACTTGTGGAGGGTGCTGTCTGATGCAGTGGACCAGTGCCTCCCTTGCCAGCTCTTTTGGGATGGAGCAGTTCCCACCTGGGGTTTTCAAGGGAGGAGGCAGACTTGAGGGAGCAGTGGGGCCAGGTGAAGGGGAGGGTGCGCTACTCTGCAGGGCACCTATTCCCAGGATATTTTACCCACTGGACAGTGAACTCCAGGCCAGGACGGGGAGTGGGATGAGCTCTTGCCTCTTCTGTGTGCTGGGTGCCGGAGGCCTGAGGTGAGTCAGACCCTGTGCCTACCCTGCAGGAACCCACCCAGGACAATGACCGGCTACAGACAATACAGCATGACAGGCGCTGTGACAGGAGGCCCAGCCCAGCTCAGGGCAGTGGAGAGTACAAGGAAGTGCCTGGCAGCTGCTGCGTCGGTAGGGGTTGCAGAAGACGGAGAACGTGGGGAGGAAGCTCAGAGGGCTGGGGCCAGCATGGACAGTGAGTGGCAAGTGAGCTCATTCAGGGAAGTCAGCGCTTCTCCCGGAGCAGAAGGCGAGACGAGGGGCAGGGAGCACATGGACAGAATCGGGCTCAGGTCAGGTGCATAGGGCCTCCTGGTGGAAGCCAATGTGACCCCACCTCTCCGGGAGGTAGGCAGGGTGCTGGAGGCGGGCCTTGAAGAAGTACAGATTGGTGGTGGCAGGGGATGGCATTGCAGGCTGAAGGGACAGACACAGGGAGGGGAGACACAGAACAGGTCTGGGAATTGTACCTAACCCGAGTGGCAGGAGGAGAGAATGGCTGTGGGGCAGTAACAGAGATGAGATGAGCAAAGTGGGTTGGGCGCAGAATGCCTTCGAGAGAGGGGAGGACTAGGCAGCACGCGCATAAGGAGTCACAGAGGTCCGTTATGCGGAGAAGGTAATTAGGTCGGCTGCTGCTGAACTGCTGATGCTCTAACATTTCTTGCTCACAGAAATAGCAGTTTGATGTGGGTCAACCTAATGCATAGCTCTAGACCATCATTTCCCCAGTGGAGTCCTAGGCAACAGGAGTACTAGAGGAGAGCGCTCACATCCCACCCTCCCCTACAAGACATGCGTCATCACCCCATTTCACTGGCCACAAGCTGAGGCCCCGGAGGACCAAGGTCCATAGCTTGGAGGAAATGCTGCGGTGGGCAGTCCCGGCCCCTGACTGCAGACCCCTGCACTGCGCCAGGCTCCGCCTTCCCTCCTGCCCACCAGCATGAGTATTTATTCCCTCACACATAAGCCTGGATGGGATCCCTTCTGCACACTGATGTTTGTCTGGGAGATTCCGCAAATCCTCTCCAAATGGCCCGCTTCCCCGCGCTGCCTGTCTGGGTGTGTTTCTGCCGAGAGGCTAAGCCTGGAGACAGTTCTCCAGAGCAGCTGGATCCCTCCCAGCTGCAAGGCTGGTTTTCTCCTTCGTTTGCAGGAAGCCCTCATTATCCCTAAGCTGCTGGCTGAGAAGAGCTGAAAATGCCTTTGCAAATTGAGAAAGCGGCAGGGTGTGTGGGTTTACCTTCCCGGATGGAAAGGAGAGAGGGCTTCTGCTTCCCAGAGACCTGTGGCCACTGATAGCAGGCTCTATTCTCACTGTCTTGTTTCAACCTCATAACCACAAGTAGATCACATTATCCCCATTTTACAGATGAAGAAACTGAAGCTCAAAGGCCCCTTGGGCAATATCACAGGGGGAAGGACAGAAGTTACTGAACTAGTCAGCTGTAGTTCACTAGTGTGTGTTGAGCATTTGCTCCAGCCAGGCTCTGTGTGACTGCTGGGGACACAGAAGAATCCTCCCCTTCTCCCTAGTGGTTTCTGTGCTGCAGAACCTCTCTGGCCATGGCTGGCTGTGCCTCTCCCAGGCTGGCGCCAGAAACCAGAGTGCGTAGAGGCACGCAGCCTCCAGCAAAGCAGGAGCAAAGCTGTGTCCTCCTTGGAAGAGACGTGGCATGCCTCGGGATAGTGCACTTGCCTAGCATGATCCCCAGCACCACACACACACAGTGCCGTGGAAGTCAAGGATGGTATCAGAGGTGGCTGTGCTCAAAAGCAGCTCTGGAGACCAAAGCCCACTCTATATTTATTTATTTATCATTATTATTACTTTTAAGACAGGGTCTCATTATGTAGTTCAGGCTAGCTTTGGACTCACTTTGTAGCCCAGACTGGCCTTGAACTCGTGGTGATCCCCCTGCCTCAGCCTCCCAAGCTCTGGGATTATAGGTATGTGCCACTACACCTGGCCAAAGCCCGCTCTTTCCTTCAGCCTTCATTCCAAACACCCTGTCTCCAGTGCTTCCCCTTCACCCCAGCCTACCGTGACCACCTGCTTCTCCCAGGTGGGGCTGTCCTAACCTGAAGCATGCCACTGTGATGCTCAGAGTCCTCTGTGCGCTGCTCCTGTCCTCAGGGCATGCCATCTTGCCCATCCTTCACAGTCCAGCGCAAACCTCCCTCCTCTGGGACTACACTGTACTCCGGGATCTCCCCACACTTTATCCTGCTCACAGGGTGCTGGGTGGTCTCTCCTTTGTGTGTATCTGAGACACGGGTGCAGGCAGCACCTAGATGTGGATTAGTTGGCTCATTCATCCATTCGTTCAGGCATTAAGTCCTTTCCAGGTTTCAGACAATGGCTTCCTTCATGGAGCTGTTTCTCCCGCAGTCCTAGCATGGCACCAGGCACAGAGCAGGCAGGCACCCAGGCGGTGTCATCTGCTCACCCCCATGGAGGAATCCCTTCCACACCAAGAGACGGCATAGGATAATGCAGAGACTACAGTGGGTGCCCCGACCGCACCTAGCACACAAATACAGTACTTGGTTTTGACCTGCACAGTGTTTTTAAACTTTTTATTAATTTCTGACATTTAAAAACAAGAGATTTTAGCCAGGTGTGGTGGTGCATGCCTGTAATCCCAGCACTTGGGAGGCTGAGGCAGGAGGATCATTGTGAGTTTGAGGCCAGCCTGGGCTACATAGTGAGTTCAAGGCCAGCCTGAACTGTATATTGAGACCCTGTCTCAAAAAAAGCCAAAAACAAACAAACAAAAAAACCAGGGTGAGGTAAGATTTTAAGTAAAGATACAGACTTCCTGCTCCTGTTAGCAAATTAGAAAGAAGGTCTGGTAGCATCAACCTCCCACAGTAAAGACTGGACCCTGCAGAGTGGCTCCCCCTTAGAAGATCATTCTCTCACCAGTGTATCACTGTCCCCACCCTCCCCGCCCCCCCTTGACCCTGAGCCCGAGTGCTGCCTTTGTTCATCACCTGGTCCTTCACTCGGTTCTGTTACCTGCAGACCCTTGGGCTCCACAGATTTGGTGAAGGCCTCGGTCCTATAGGCTTACAGCCCAGCCTGGCCATGTACCATGTGTATAAGCTTCTAGGCAGCTCATCTGAAACTTGAGAGGACAGCACCAACTTGCAGGATGAAGAGGATGATCATAGGGGATCACACGTGCAAGCCCTCAGCGGGCAGGAAAGGCCCCTGTGAGTGTGTATGCAGTGCGTGCCTGTCCTGCTGAGCTCCCCCTCTGTTTGCTTCCAGTGCTACCAGAGGGGGCTGATGTCCCAGTATGTGGAATCCTGGAGAGCTGGAGACACAGCTTTCTGGCGAGGACCTTTCGGAGACTTCTTCTATAAACCAAACCAGGTCAGTGCCAGCTCCCTCAGTGCTGAGGAGGTCCCCAGCTTTTTGCAGGGCTGTGATTGACATGTTTCAGGCCATAGAGTCTCACTCTAAAAGTCTTGAGTGTAAAGCCAATCACAAGAGGATCTCTGGGATTGGATATGGGAGGAGATGGAACAGGCACTGAAAAAACTGCCTGCCATGTTCCGGGACTATTCATGGCTGCCCCAATGCTTGGGAAACCAGCCTTGTGCACTTGGTGTTTGGGACCCTAATACCTATGGCGCTCAGATACTGCTGCAGTTGTCTATCCCACTCATGGCACTCCATGTAGCCCCTGGCTCCCTTCAGAGAAGCCCACTGCTTCCCGGCTTGGAAGGCGCTTGCCCTCATCCTCCTGGCATGGGCAAATCCTTCCAGGAACTTCCTCAGAAAGGATTTCTCATTCGTTGGTGCATATCTAATGGAAAGCAGTTTGATGGTATGTGCCAAGAGTCCTAAGAGTCTTTAAATCCTTTGACCCAGTAATTCACTTCTGAAAGTCTATCATACAGAAAGAATCCAAAATCCCAACTCTTTTGCATGCCATGGCATCTATATTTAAAGTAGCAAATATTGGAGACAACTGAATATCCGATAACAGGGGGAACGGGGATGGGTTACAGGTACTTGATGGGCTATTAGGCTGGGGATACAGCTCAGCAGCACAAGTGCCTGCCAGGTCCCGAGTTTGACTCCCAGTACCAAGAAAAAAAGATGGGCTATTATCCTGGATTTTAAAATTATATTATAAATTATTTTCTATGCTTACTTAGGCTATACAACCAGTGGCAAATACCACATACAAAACATACAACGGGTTTGTAAACTGATTGCACAAAAAATATGAAAGGAAAATGCAAGGAAATGTTAGCAGCTCTACATGGCGGAATTCTGGGTGATTTTTATTTTCTTCGTTATTCGGTACTTTCCAAGTTATCTGCAGTGAACACGTATTACCTTTATAATTGGGAAAACAAAGCAAAACGAAAACAATGAATCCTGCTTGCCTCTCCATGCTTTTTGTCTAATTTTAAAGCAGCTTTTATTGGTTTCTTTCCTTATTATGAATGCAGTACATGTTCAACACCCCCAATCCAATAGAGAGAGACAAAAAGAAGAAAATGCCTGCAGGCCCTCTGCCACACATACCAGTCTTACTAACCTGGTGTACATTCTTCCAAGTCCTCTTCTGTGCATGAGTATTTATGGGAACACACACACACTCTCATGTGTTGTGTGTATAATAGAACTATCAGGCCTGGGGTGTGGCTCAGTGGTAAAGCACTTGCCTGGCACTCAGGAGGCCCTGGACTCAACCCCAGCACTGTAAGTAGTAATAATGCCAGCCACACAGGTGGCACCTCCTGTGTGCAGGTTCCAGCCTTAGCACTTGCCACGCGGTAACTCGCTCCGTTCTCATGACAGTGTTCAGCTGCTTCTCCCCATTTTACACGTAACACAATTCGTGTATGTTTGTATTCTTCCGCAGTATTCCAGTACTGTGCCCAGCCCCCCTATTTTGTTGTTGTTTTGGGGTTTTTGTTTTATTTATTTTTTATTTTTTTAAAACAAGGTCTCCCTATGTAGTTCAGGCTGGCCTTAAACTATGTAGTCCAGGCTGGCCTCAAACTTGGGGCAATCTTCTTGCCTTGGCCTCCCAAGCCAAGAGTGTGGCTGAGCCCTGCATTTTAACTGAGTTCCCCTCTGTGTCCCCAGGGCTTTGAGGGCAGGGCATGGGAATTATTCCTGTTTCTTCCTGGCCTAGAGCAGATGCTGAGTGAAAGTCATCTTGGCCACCTTTTCTGAGGGAGCCTCCTGATGCCTTGTGGCTGTTGCTCTGCATCTAGAGAACACTCACAAGCCCCGATTTCTCATTTAGAAGGGCATAGGGCCCAGAGGAAAGGGGACAGGGATGGTCCACTGATGCCTTGGCCAGGGCTTGGCTGTGTTCCCATGAGGACACCGGATGCTCCTGCCCTTTGCCAACCCTGCTTGCTCCTCTGCAGCCGCCTCTGTTACCGACAGCTGCCTGGAGGGCTGGCACCCAGGCGTCTAAGTGTTCGCGACCCAGGGATGAGCCAGACGAGGACCCAGATGCCTGACGGAGGAGACGGGCATGTGGACACCTGACTGCAGTGTGCCATGCTGCACCAAGGCAGGCCTGGGGAGCTGAGGGGACAGGCAAGCAGACCCTCCCCTGCCCCTGGCTTGGGAAGGCTTCCCAGAAGTGGGGATGGGAGGAAGGAGGGCCGAGGCAGGCAGGAGACCTGGAGGCTGGAGGAAGCGCCAGCACAGGACAGCAGCAGGAGGGAGGCTCTGGCTTAGCAAGGGAAAGGAACCTAATGGGATTAAGCCTTGACTCCACACCAGACTCCATTGTCTCATGCAGTCATTGTGACAGTTCTGGACAGGTGCTGCTACAGGGCAGTGTTCGTATTACTTCCTCTTTTTTTTTTTTTTTTGGTTTTTTTTTTTTTTGGTTTTT